GACACACAGAAGCTGCCGTGTAGCTTTGGCATGTTCAGAATCCCGACTCGCCTCATAGGGATTGCTGCTTGTCACAGTGTGCTGCCAGTTCAGGTTTTTGTCTGATAAAACCTCAGAATTGCAAATGCAATGCCTGAAGTGGAGAGGTCACACGGAGCCTGTGAAGGACTTTGATTTTAGCCCTACCAAGACCACGCTCCTTCAGTCACTGGAAATTCAAGCCTAAACTGTGTTTGGTTTTGGGATCCTGGGTATTGTGTGTGCATGGGGGAAAAATGTCAGGGTGGTATCTGCGGCCCAGTTGGTTGAAGGAACCCACAGAGACCTTTGCACCTTCCCTGTATGAGGCAAGTACCAGCAGGAGCATTGCAGTGCCAGCTGTGCTGGTGGGGACGTTCTCCTGTGCTGCAAACAGCAGCCACACTTCTAGTGACTTTAGCAGAGTCAGGACTCTGCCCCCAAAGCAGAGGGAATAAGGAAGGTGTAGCAGATGAGTGAACTAGAGCACCTAGAAGCTTTCTGCATGTGCAGTGAGGCTCATCTGAAAGCCACTGAACTCCTTCAGTGTTCTGAGCATCAACTGGCTTTTAGGCAGTGTTACTGCTTAAGCCTTCTAGTTCTCACGTATTTTTGAGTTCCTTCAAGCTTCATTTCCCAATTCAACTTCTTTTATAAAAATTACTGGGAGAAAACCTGGTTTACCTGAGAGCAGAAGTTACCGTATACAATGTTGAGCCTGGGCTGACAGAAAGAGAGTTGTTAGCAACTCTTATGTTTTCTGACAACTTCTAAAAGTGACCAACAGGGAAAGCAAACTTACCCTTAATGTAGCTTTTAGTTTCTTGCCCATTAGGCAGTTTGAGAGGTCTGAGCTGGTTTTGGTCACAGATCTAAAGCACAGCACCCTATGGGCTGCTGTGAAGAACATTAGCTCCATCCCCAGCAGACCCAGTCATGCATGGTAGCAGTGACCATGGCAAGTAGCAGGAAGAATAATACTGGGCAAGTAATCAGGGGACAAGGGGAGTGGAAGAGGCCCGGGTGGGAAGCAGGATGGAGGGAGGCAGAGACATCTGTGAGGTTCAGCAAATGGAAGAGC